AGCTCTGCAGCCACCTGTTGGACACAATGCAGTAATGAAGGCACTGCACATGTAGGGCAGTGTTCCTTTCAGACATGCGCTGCAGTGCTCCTTTCTCAGAGCAACATGGCTGCACTCTGTGCATGATGCTGCTTACCACCAGCACTGAAGCTGAGAACAACAGACAAGGAGAAGGCTCAGGTACCCAACAATATTTTTGCTTCCATCTTCTCTGATAACTACTCACTATACACTGCCCTCACCTTTGGTTTGGTAGGTGGGGATTGAGGAAGCAATGCCGCCTCCCCCCCTCCCCCCCTCCCCATCCCACAGTGTGATGGGAGATCAGGTCCTGGACTGCATGAGGACCTGAACATCCAGGAGCCTTTGGGTCCTGATGAGACAAGTCCCAGAGTTCTGAGGGAATTCAGTGCTGCAGTCACTGAGCCACCGACAGTGGTATTTGAGAAGTTGAGGCAGTCAGGTGAAGTCCCTGGTGAGCAGAAAAATGGTGACAGCACAGCTGTTATTACTGGGAACTACCAACATGTCAGTCTCACCTCCGTGCTGGGAAAAATCATGGAGCAGATCCTCCTGGAAGTGACTCTGAAGCATGTTCTAGTGCGTCACCACCCTCTGTATGAAAAGCTTCCTCCTAATAACCAACCTAAACCTCCCCTGTCTCAGTTTAAAACCATTTTCCCTTGTCCTATCACGATCCACCCTCATAAACACCCGTTTCCCTTCCTGCTTATACACTCCCTTCAAGTACTGGAAGGCTGCAATGAGTTCTCCCCCAAGCCTTCTCTTCTCCAGGCTGAACAAGCCCACTTCCCTCAACCTTTCTTTGTAGGAGAGCACCTCCAACCATCTGATCATCTCAGTGCCTCCTCTGGACCCGCTCCATGAGCTCCACATCCTTCCTGTGCTGGGGGCCCCAGGCCTGGATGCAGCACTGCAGATGAAGCCTCACAAGAGCTGAGTAGATGGGGATGATCACCTCCCTCTCCCTGCTGGCCGCTCCTCTTTTAATGCAGCCCAGAACACAGCTGGCCTTCCAGGCTGCAAGTGCACTCTGCTGGCTCATGTCCAGCTTCTCACCCACCGGGATCTGCAAATCCTTCTCTGTGGGGCTGCTCTCAAGGTGTTCTTTGCTGAGTTTGTACAAACATCTGGAATTGCCCCTTCATCAGTGACATCGACAGTGGGGTCAAGTGCACCCTAATGACACCAAGCTGTGGGGTGCAGTGACACACCAGAGGGACGGGACACCATCCAGAGGGACCTCAACAAGCTGAGTAGTGGGCACTCAGCAGTGTACCTTCCCAGCCCAGAAAGCCAACCGTATGCTGAGCTCCATCCAAAGATGTGCGGTCAGTAGGCAAAGGGAGGCAGTCCTGCCCCTCTGCTCCACGCTATGAGACCTCATCTGGAGGTGCTGTGTCTGGATGTGGATGTCCACAGTGCAGGACAGACGTGGAGCTGTTGGAGCACATCCAGAGAACGGCCACAAATATGAACCGAGGGATGGAATGCTTTTCCTATAAAGAGAGAGAGCTGGAGCTGTTCAGCCTGGACAAGTGAAGGCTCTGAGGTAATCTGGTAACAGCCTGGTACAGTGTCTGGTAACAGGAAGAACAAGAAAAGATTTAGCTTAGATATAAAGAAAATCTTGTACAGTGAGGATGGTGACACAGTGGAACAGGTTACCCAGACACGTGATGGATGCCCTGTCCCTTCCAAGGTGAGGCTGGGTCAGTCTCTGGGCAACCTGATCTGGCTGTGGATGTTCCTGCTCGTTCTGTGGCAGTTGGACTAGATCACCATCAATGGTACCAGGTACTCCAGCTGGGATAATCCACATCCGTCACAGAGCCTCTCTGGGCCAATCCCAGTATCCTGCAGACCAGGGGCTTCACTTCATCACACTGTTGGGAACCAGAGCTGCAGAGCTATTGAATGCAGGTCAGGGGGTGGGAGGAAGAGGAATTGGGATTTGGGTGTCATACAGATTAGGAAACTAACAGCATCTCCAGACAATTAGGATGGAGATATCTGGGGTGATGCTGAGTACAGCAGTCCAGAAGAGGACAATCCTTGGCTTTCTGTAAAGATGAAGATTTATTACACCTAAGGGTGCACAGAATGCCCTTAAACAACTCTGCATGGTTGGAAGCAGTGCATAACAGCCCTGAAATAAAGAAAGAATAAGTTACCCCATTCCAAAGATGAATACTCAGCCCACACTGCCAAGGAAGTAGTCTCCAGGTACAGATGTTGCCCTTATGGCTTCCACCCCTTAAAAGTGGTCAGGATACTAAAAAAAAAAAAAAAAAAAAAAAAAAAAAAAAAAAAAAAGATCGCAGATAAAGAAGAAACCACTTACACCCTTCTCAAAGGCCAAAACTCACCCATGCTCTACAGGAGACAGTCTCCAGAGATTAACATTGCCCTTACATCAGTCAGCACTTAAATGTGGTCAGGATGCCCCAAAAAACAAAAGGGAAAGGTCACAGCCCTAAAATAAGAAGGAATCACTCATCCCATCTCAAGGACCAGACCTCACCCCACACTCCCAAGGAGACAGTCTCTAAAGACAGGTACCACCTTAAAGGCTACCAGCCCTTAAGTGGGGTCAGGATCCTCCCAGAAACAAGATATTGCAACCCTGGAATAAAGAATCAGTCACCCTGTTTCAAGGGTTCACCCCACACTCTAAAGGAAGCAGTCTCCAGGTGCAGTTGCTGCTCTTTCTGCTGACAGACCTTAAATGTGGTCAGGAGCCCCCCAGAAAGTGAAATTACAATCCAGCAATAAAGATGAAAACAATGATCCCATTCCAAAAACAAACACTCAGCCCACACCCCAAAGGAAGCAGTCCCCACGCAGAGATGCTGCCCTTACAGCTTTCAGCCCTTACAAGCAGTCAGGAACCCCAAAAACAGAGAGAAAAAAAAAAAAAAAAAAAAAAAAAAGCCCCACAATAAAGCATCAACCACTCACCCCATTCTAAAGGGCAGAACTCACTCCCAATGCTCTCAAGGAGGCAGTCCACAAGAAGAATGCTGCCCTGGCTGTTCCCAGCCCTTAAATATGGTCAGGGAGGGGTGGAGCCAAGCTCAGCCCTATCCGGTCCCACAGGTAAATTGCTTCCACCTGTGCTGGCAGGGCTGGCCACACCCCTCACCAGGTGCTCCATCACTGCTTCAGACTGTAAACAACAACAAAAAAAAAAAGACTAATAACGAGCAGGTGATTGGATCTGCCTGTCCGGCAAGGGGAGTTTGATCAAAGGATGAGCAACAAGGGCATGCATATTTTGATTGAAGTCTGTCTTCAAAAGCATTCAGTAAAATTTCTAATAGATAGGGGAGCACAAATTTCAGTATGATACAGCACACAAATTTCAGTACTGATACAGCAAGATGTTGAAAAGCTGTGTGTGCAGCCTGGATGGCAAAGTTGAGATTACCGGTGTGATCGGAGCGAGCACTGTTTGCCAAACTAGTGGGGAAAGCTTATGGCTCTCCAGTGAGAAACGTGTCACCTACTTTCTTTGCAATTAAAGACCATCGTGAAAACAATTCAGGATTTGACATCCTCAGTGGGTGAACCTGGCACCTGCCTGTATGGCAGTGTGTGGCCTTTTGGGTCAAGTTTCAATCCCCAGCTCCAAAGAAATAGGAAAGCTGCATGTGTACTTTATGCAGCCCCTGTGATCCCTGAATCAGGGGTCGCTAACATGCCACTGTACCCCATTTTTGCTGCAGCATGATGTGGGATTTCTGAAGCCACAGCAGGTTTGGAGAAAAGAGAAATAGTTTCCAGAACACACTCCCCACAACTTGGAGTTATCTGGTTCAGAAACCAGATGAAAGGTGGTGATTAACAATCGATTATCAGTGTCTGAAAGCTTATACAGCCCCGCTAGGAGCTGCTATCCCAAATCTTGCTTACTTGGGAAGTTGGGGTGACGCCATAGAGTAATGCTGGGATGACATTGGGTTGAAGTTGTGGACTGACACCTTGGGGAGTAACACTGGGGGGTGATGTTGGGGTATCACAGGGGAGTGACATCAGAGAGAGAGATACTTGATGGAGACACTGGGGTGACTCAGTGTGATGCTGGGGGGTGACATTGTCGGCACGACTCTGGGAGTGACCCTGGGCTGACATAGGGGTGATGCTCGGTTGATGTTGGGGAGTGATGTTGGGGGATGGTGTTGGGTTATTACTGGAGGGTGACATCAGGGAGTGACATTGCAGTGGCATAGTTGAGGTGACACTTGGGTGACATTGGGCTGACGCTGGGATGATGTGGGGGGGTGATGCTGGGGAGTGATGCTG